GCGGCTGGCGTTTCTCAGGGCAGGACCGAGCGAAGTGTCCACTTCCGCCACAGTAAAGACAGAGATTTCCCTCCCGACGCCGCGCCTTCTCTGCGGGGGAAAGGCGTGGCCGCACTGCCCCGAGCTGCATAGGCTCCTCCGTTAAATCAGTTGTGACCGTGGGGCTGCCGGAAACAGCTGGTGCCGCGAACTGGAAGTGTCGGCGACCCCGGGCCTGACGACGATCCTCCAACCGGTCGTCTATTTGTAGACTCCGTTGAATGAGAGTGTCTAGCGTGGTGGGGCGTTCCATTGTGGCCAACTGGTCCAGTACCTCGTCCGAAAGCCCTTCGAGATACTGGTCCCGCAGTGCCGAGTCATTCCAGGTCAAGTCCTGTGCCAACAGCCGAAACTCCGTGGTATATGCGGCCACCGTGGACTTGCCCTGTTTCAAACGCCGAATCGCCCGGTTGGCTTGACTCCCTTTCTGGGGGTTGCCGAACGCGGCCTCCAAACGATTGCAAAACCCCGTATAGTCTGCCAGCAAGGGGGAGTCTTGCCTGAGTAGCGGCAACGCCCACTTGGCCGCCTGGTCCTTTAACAAACTAATCAAAAAGTGCACCTTGGTGCGGTCGTCAGGAAAGTTCCGGGCTCGCCCCTGAATATACAGCTTGGCCTGGGCCAGGAACATGGGAAAGCTGGCCGGGGCTCCATCAAATTTCTCAGGCAAAGCCACTGGGTACTTGCCAGGAGCCGGGGCGTCGGCCCCAGGAGCCGGTAGGGCTTCCAAGCGTTGCTGAAGTGCCGCAACCGCGTTACTGAGCTGCTGCACGGTGTGAGTCAAGGCCTGGTTCTCCTGGGCCAAAGCCACCAGTGCAGCCGCCTGGTCAGCCATGGCCTCTGGCTCTTCCCGAACGCACCCCTACGAAGGGGGAGTGCGGGTGTGGCGGGAGCAAACTGTGCTGGTCCCGGGGGTAAGGTACCGTGGATGTAGCAGAGTCCACACGAAGAGGGGTGAGGTCCGAGGCGGAGAGCCGGGCGGGGAACAGGAACGCTGGAACAGGAGGCTGAGCAGGGAACAGGAGCACCGGATGGTCGGGAACAGGAGGCCGAGCAGGGAACAGGAGTACCGGATAGTCAGGAACAGGAAGCCGAGCAGGAAACAGGAGTACCGGATAGTCAGGAACAGGAGGCCGAGCAGGGATCAGGAACACAGGAAGTTCCGAAGCCAACAACGACGTTGCTCCCGCAACCTGGGGCCGGGCTGACTGGGCTTTTATCCTCTTCTAAGGCCAGGGGCGGTCCCGGCCCCCAGGAGCCCTGCCTCCTCTGGCCTTAAGGCGAGCACTCCTCCTGGGGGCAACCAGTTCCCTTCGCCTCTCTGCCCTAAGCCTCTGCAGATCAGGAGAGGCCGAAGGGTTACTGGGCCCTGGAGGAGGCTCACCTGTGGCCACTGAGTCGTCAAGCCCCTCTGGGGCCAGAAGGGCTTCACCTGGGGCCAGCTCCTGATGCACTGCCACAGGTGCAGGCTCTTCAGCATCTAAGCCTTGCCCCAGTTCAGCCGGCCCTGGAGGCGGGGACTCCTGTGCAGGCTGGGATTCCTCTGTTTCATCCTCCGAATCGGAATCCCAGGCCATCACACCCTTTTCTATAATCCACACTAAACTCCATGTGGTATTCAAGGACATGTTTCAAAATCCCTCCAAAATTAGGAGCCGCCACAACCCCAAACATCTCACGGCCCATTGCCAGACTTGAAAAGTCCAAACATCCCTGTATCGGGGGGTCTATCCAGCCCCCCATTTCCAAGCCAAACCAAACTTTTTCTTTCCAACTCTGGCTTTTTCCAAGTTCATTTGTCAAATCCGAAAGCTCATGTTCCTGTTGGGCCACAGCTCCCTCCATCTCTGGCGCCCAAGATTCAGCAACATCCTCCTGATTTAATTCCTGGGTGGGCTCCATATATTTTCCCACTGCCTGTTCAAAATTTCCCACTGCCTGTTCAAAATTTCCCACTGCCTGTTTAAAATTTCTAATCGAATCAGTCATCAAATCCGTCTTTTCATGTAACTGTTCCAGTAGGGCATTTGTTTTATAGAAAGCACACAACAGAGCTTCTGAGTACATTGTCCTGCAAGGTCAGAAGTCTATTCCCACGATTGTAATCTGTAACAGCTGCAGGCTCTCCAGAATTGGTTACAGTTTCACAGTCTCCCTCTAGGGGGGAAATTTCTATTTGTTCTTTCTTTTAAAGACAAGTCTAGCAACAAAATGTCCTTTTTCAGATATTTTATCAGTATTTGTTCCTTTAAAAAGCGAAGGGGAACGATGGAATCAGTATTTCTCTTCTTATAGCTATCTGTCAAAAACGTTGTCTCTGGTCAATGAGCTTCAAAAAACATCAGTCCTAACACCCCGCTCCAGGATCAGGACGGTGGAAGGTTACTTTACTTTACCCTCACTTCTGCAGGTTTAAACAGTCCGAAAAAATCCCCCCTCTTCTCCTGCTTCCGAGGGGGGTTCAGCAATTTGAATGATGAAAGTTAATCTTTTACAGGCAATTTTCTGAGCTCTAGTTTGCCATGTCTTTGCTTTGATCTATCTACAAAGAAACGGAAGGCTGACTTCCTGTTTAGACCTTCCCGTTTCAGTGCCAAATTGAGGTAGACTTTTAAGTCCAATTTTCCTTTCTGCTCACAAGTCCTTATTTAAAATCCAATTGTCCAAGTTTAGGTACTCACGGGTGAATATTTTAGAAACCAAATTGTCCCAGGAAAAAGGCAGCGTTCTCCGGCAACGGCTGTGCGGCTTCGCTCCACGGAAGAAGCGGTTGACTCTCAGCACCGCGCCACTTCCCCCTCTTCGCTTCGGAGCCCGTTAGTGGGTTCCTTTGCGGGTTGGGGGGGCGCTAAGGGTGCCTGCCGAGTCCCATGGTCACAGGCTTCATCCGCCTGTGATTTTTGAAAGGGTCCCCGCTTCGCCGTAGCGGAAAAGACCCGTTTCACGTGGAGCTAGTCCCTCCAGATTAGAGGGAGTCTGCCATTGCCGATGGCGCCACCCCGGAAGTCCCATGAACACGGTTTTAACAGTGAGTCCGTAAGTGACTGTGGAGGCCAATTCTGGATCCCCACGTCCTTCCACAGTGGGGACCTTTGTGTAGTGTAGCAGTGCCCCAAAGTGCTTACTTCGCCAGCCATGGGCCTGCGTGGTGCATCTGGAACATCCAGATGAGGGGGAATCACAGACTCATAGAATGGTAGAGTTGGAAGGGACCTCAAGGGTCATCTAGTCCAACCCTCTGCAATGCAGGAATCTCAGCTAAGGCATCCATGACACATGGTCATGCAGCCTCTGCTTAAAAACCTCCAAGGAAGGAGAGCCCACCACCTCTCGTGGGAGACTGTTCCACTGCCAAACAGCCCTTACTGTCAGAAAGTTTTTCTGAATGCATAGTTGGAATCTCCTATCTTTTTTTTTTATATATAATTTTTTATTAGAGGTTTTTCTTATGGTTACAAAGATAAAACAAAACATGACAATACATTAAAACATAACAAACAAATAATAACAAGTATACTTTCAAATCTTATTTTCTTAAACCTTACTTCCCTGACTTCCTCGTGCTTCCCCTTTCTGTGTTCCAATTTCTAATCAATTACTCAGCAAATCTTCTCGTATTTTAACTTAATTTACTCATTTTTCTCCTTGTCTTAACCATTACCGCTATCAACCATTTATTTCACTAATCCGTCATCCTTCTAAGCTTCATAAATTTTACAATATTTCTTTAAATAGTCCTTAAATTTTCTCCACTCCTCCTCCGCTGCTTCTCTTCCCTGGTTTCGGATTCTGCTCGTCATCTCTGCCAGGCCCATGTAGTCAATCACCTTCATCTGCCATTCTTCCAAGGTGGGTAGATCTTGTGTCTTCCAGTACTTTGCGATGAGTATTCTTGCTGCTGTTGTAGCGTACATAAAAAAAGTTCTATCCTTCTTTAACACCCCCTGGCCGACTATGCCCAAGAGAAAGGCCTCTGGTTTCTTTGGGAAGGTATATTTAAATACCTTTTTCAGTTCATTATATATCATTTCCCAGAATGCCTTAATCTTCGGGCACGTCCACCAGAGATGAAAGAACGTACCTATCTCCTATCTTTTAGCTGGAAGCCATGGGTTCGAGTTCTGCCTTCCAGAGCAGGAGAAAACAAGCTCGCTCCAACTTGCATGGGACAGCCCTTAAGGTATTTGGAGATGGCTCTCATATCTCCTCTCAGTCTCCTCTTTTTCAGGATGAACACACCCAACTCTTTCAACCCTTCCACATAAGACTTGGTCTCTAGGCCCTTAATCACCTTTGCATACCCTCCAACATTTCTTTGATGAAAAAAGGGATGAGCCATTCCATAATGGTAATTTTACTCTTTATACCCCACACATCTCACTGGTTGCCCCTGCCACTCTGGCAGAACAAAACAGTAAACATTAAAAAAAGACTTCCCTATACAGGACTGCCTCCAGATGGCTTGGGGGTGGGATAACTCCATGCCTTCCAACATTTCTCCATTGGAAACAGAGACATCCTAAAGAAAAGTGGGACATTCCAGGATCAAATCAGAAACTGGGATGGCTTCTCTAAATCAGGGGTGTCTCTGGAAAATAGGGACACATGGAGGGTCTGCCTTGGTCGCTCTACCCTACCCATAATCCACTTTGTCAACATCCTTCTTAAATTGTGGTTCCTAGAACAGGACAAAGGACTCCAGGTGGGGTCTGACCGAGGAAGAATGGTTCAGAGGAGATGCTTTTGAACTACTTTTCGCCAACTCGGCTTTCGGCAAGACATCCCGACATCCCGTCCCATGCTTACTGAGCAGGCATGTTAAGGTGGTGCGCGGGAAGCCGCTCCAGCCATCGGAGGAGAGGCCGACCTCAAGGAGAGAGAGGCTGGCTGCGCTGGAGCGCGCGCCACAGCGCGCAGGGCCTGCCCACCCTGAGCGCCCGCCCCCGCCCCGCCCCGCCCCCGCCCCGCCAGACACGTCGGCCGAGGACGCCCGGCTGCGTCCGCCTGGGCGCCTTACGGGATGGTGCCATGGCGCGGCCGTCGGGGGTCGCGCAGCGCCAGGAGTCCGAACAACAGCTACTGCCGCTGGTCTCCTACCAGCACGTGCCCGTGCATCTGGCCGGCGGCGCGCCCTGGGGCTTCTCCCTCGAGGGCGGGCTGGAGCACGGCAAGCCCCTCATCGTCTCCAAGGTGAGCCCCTTCCGCGCTCCTCCTTCCCCGCTCTGGGGTCGCCGTCCGGGCGAAGCGCGGCTTCCGGGCGCCCCTGTCCTCCGCCTTTTCTCCCTGCCCGTCCGGCGACGCCCGCTTTTTGTAGGGAATCTGATAGAACGTCCACGCAGCGGAAGTGTGTGGATCTTGCTCGCGGTACAAGTCACCACCTAAAAGCAGAGAAAGCTCCAAACCTTTCGCTACTGCAGAAGCAATAAGCTCTACGAACAACTTTGGACGAAGTTTATACGTAAAAAAATAAGTTCCAGCTTGTAGTCTTTTTAGATACAGATATCAAAGAATAACAGAATGGTAGAAGGGGTCCTGAGGGTAATCTAGCCCAACCGTCTACAAGGCAAGAATCTCAACTCAACCATCTATGGCAGAGGGCCATCCAACCTCTGCTTAAAAGCCTCCCATGAAAGGGGCTGCACCACTTTCTGAGGGAGGCCAGTCCAATGTCACAGAGCTCTTACCCTCAGAAAGTTCTTCCCAATGTTTAGTCAGAATCTCATTTCTTGTAACTTGAAGCCATGCGTTGAGTCCTACCCTCTTCCATGTGGCAGCCCTTGAGATTTTTGAATGTCTCCTCTTGTCCAGGCCAAACATACTCAGCTCCTTCAACTGTTCATCATAATGCTTGGTTTCTAGACCATTTATCATCTTGGCCACCCTCCTCTGCACACTTTCCAGTCAATATCCCTCTTAAATTGTGGTGCAGAGATCTGGATGCAGGACTCCAGGTGTGGACCAAGGCAGAACAGAACAGGACAGTTGCTTCCCCTGATCTGAATACTAGACTTCTGTTGATGCAGTATAGAATAGCATTGGCATTTTTTGCTAGTGCGTCACACTGTTGACTCATGTTAAGCTACTAAGACTCCTTGATCCTTTTCACACATACTACTGGTAAATGACCCCCCCCCCCAAATTTTCTGTCTGTCTGTGCATCTGCCTAAGTGCAGAACTTTAAATTTGTCCCCATTGAAATTCATTTTGTTAGTTTGGGCCCTTGTCTGGGCAGGCAGCTGCAGGAGGCGCATCAGACATAACAGGGCCCCCACCCCATCCATTTCCTTTGCGGCGCCATGCTTGCGTGTCTTAGGGCTCACTCACACTTAGCTTTTGCTTGGCATTGCTGAGCACAGATCCGCACTTTAAAGCACCATGTCCAAGTGCTATTTTGTTTTGTTCTTTTGTCCTGACTAATCTGCTCTTTACTGGAGCAAACAGAAATTCAGCCATTTGCTTCAATTAAGCAGTAAAGAGTGGACTTTTGCAGGGAAAGCACAGGGGGGAAGAAGAAGAAGGGCATACCTGTGCATAGAAACGTGGCACAAAAGGATGAGCCTTTGGTGGAGCAAGTCCTTGGGCTGGAAACCCCTTCCTCCTGCCTAGGGGCAGGCCGTGAAGCATTTCTGTCTCCACGAGTTTCTCTCTGTCTGTCAGGCGGGAGGGCCTGGGGTGACTGGCCCTGTGCCAGGCTGAGTCTCTAACTGCGCTCCCTTGGGACTGGGCAGTGAGCAGGAACGGCCCTTTGGCCGTGAATGATTAACTGCCCTTGTCCCTCCACCGCTGCCAGTTCTGGTGGCTTTGGTCTCCCAGAGTGGCAGCAAGATGCTGCTTTTCCAAGTGGAATGCCCTGCATGCCCCATGGCTGGATTGGTCCCCAGGAAAGAAGCCAGGGGGTGGAGCTGGATGTGAAGAGGCCTCTCCTTTCTGTGAAGTGCTCCTGGGGTTGGGGGGTAGTCTGCCTTGGTCCTGCCCTCAGTACCCATTCGGGATGTGGTGCCTGCTTCCAATCCCTGTGTGTTCCAGCGACAGGATTCAGCTGTGGAGAGTAGCATGCAGTGGCTTAACACAAAGTGGTTCTGCGTGAGGCTGGGTTGATGCTTCTGGATGATAGGGACAAGTGGGGTGCCACAGTGTTCTGTCCTGGGCCTGTTGATATTCAACATCTTTATAAGTGACTGGGATGAAGGAATTGAGGGGATGCCAGCAGTACATGTGAAAGGACTGAGGGATCTTATTAGGTCACTAGTTTAACATGAGTCAGCAGGGTGATGCAGCAGCAAACAAAGCTAATACTATTTTAGGCTGCATCAACAGGAGTATAGTGTCCAGATCAAGGGAAGTCATGGTCCCACTCTATTCTGCCTTGGTCAGACCACACCGGGAATACTGTGTCCAATTCTGGGCACCACAATTTAAGAAGGATGTTGACAAGCTGGAATGTGTGCAGAGGAAGGCAACCAAGATGACCAAGGGTCTGGAAACCAAGCCATATGAGGAATGGTTGAAGGAGGTGGGGATGTTTAGCCTGTAAAAGAGGAAACTGAAAGGAGATATGATAGCCATCTTCCAATATCTCAAGGGTTGTGCTTTGAAAGATGGGGCAAGCTTGTTTTCTCCTACTCTGGAGGGAAGAACCCGAACCACTGGCTTCAAGTTACAAGAAAGGGGATTCTGAGAAAACACCAGGAAGAACTTTCTGACAGTAAGAGCTCTTTGACAGGGGAAGAGACTCTCTTGGAAGGTGGGGGACTCTCCACCCTTGGAGGTGTTTAAGCAGAGGCTGGATGGGTTGGACTAGATGCAGTGGTGGAGCTCGGGGTGCCCGATGCGGCATATGCGTCCTGCAGCCGGGGGCGGAGTGAGCTGCCCATGGGGGTGGGGCAAGCCAAGGCAGGGCGTGCTGCTTGGAGCCTCTCCGCAGCCTCCCCCTCAGCTGTAGGATGGCTGAGGTGGTGGGCAGACGCAAGCCCTGTGCGGCTCGAAAAAGTGGTGCAGAGCTTGCAGGCAGTCTGCCTGCCGCCTCCCCCTCAGGAGAGACTCGTGGCTCAGGCACACTGCAGACCCCATGGTGTGGCACCCAGTGCCCCCACCTCACCTAGCTACCAGTGGTGTAGGAAGGGGGGTGCAGTGGGGGTGGGAGTTATTTTTTTCAAAAAGTGTCATGAGCCCACTTTTAAAATTTTATTTTAAAAACACATATTTTTGCCATTTTGTCACCCCGCCCAGTGATGACACCCAGGTCGTCCCACCCCCCTTCCTACGCCACTGACTAGATGACTCTTGGGGTACCTTTGAATCCTATACAGTGGTACCTCTGGATACGAACGGGATCCATTCCGGATCCCCCTTCCTGAAGTGAATGTAACCTGTGCCTGCATGTTTGCGCGTGCACGGGTTGCGATTCGCCGCTTCTGTGCATGCGCGTGACGTCATTTTGACCATCTGTGCATGCGCGAGCAGCGAAACCTGGAAGTTACATGTTCCGTTACTTCTGGGTCGCCGCGGAGCACAACCCGAAAGCGCTCAACCTGAAGCATATTAAACCCTAGGTATGACTGTAATTCTACAATTCTGTGATTCTGACCCTGGGGTAGCACCCCATTGGCACCTCAATTGTTTGCTCAAAGGTCAGCTTCTTTCTCCCATGGAGCATGAAAGCATACCCTTAAGAACATAAGTTGAGATAGGCTCCAAGATCAGGCCAAGGGGCGGTCATGCAGCCCAGCATCCTGGTCTCACAGTGGCCAGCTGGATGCTTCTTTTGGGAGGTCTTGCACGCAGGACTCACGTAAGATTGCTGAGCCAAGGTGTTACCAAACACCAGGCATCAAAGCTGGATTTCCTAAATATCTCTGGGATCGTCCGCAGTTCTGGCTTGTCTTGTGGTGTTTTCGTCACTCATCTCATTTCTCTGGGAAAAGCCACTCTTTAGGACCAGCTTGGACCATACATCAATCCAGTGAAAACCCAAATTGTCATTTGCTCTGACTGAGCGCTTGAGAGCAGTTTCCCCCAGGGCTGTGGATGAGCCCCCTGTTCCTTCCTTTCTGTTTAAATGGTGGTATCTCAAGGGCTGCTGTGGTGCATTTGGAAAAAGTCACGGCTCACATCTGGCAAAGACTCAGGTCTTCTGGAGGTGACCCATGTTCCCTTTCCCTCCCAGCGCCCCACCCCCTCTGATGCATTCCAAATGTTGTGCATTTTCCTGAAGAGGGTTTCATTTGCCACAAAGCTGGTGCAAATGTGAATAGTTTAACTGCATTCTGTGTGCATCTGAGAAATGCTGTGTGAGGATGGGCCGGTGGGCCAAGAGACCCAGGATTATTATTTTTTCTTTGGGGGCCGGTTGCCCGATTTATTTCCTTGGTGCAAAGTGAGCCCGTCCCTGAGCTGATGGGTCAAAGAATCATAGGATTGTCATCTACTCAAACTCCCTGCAATGTGGGAATCCTAACTGCAGCATCCATGATGACAGATGACCACCCAACCTCTGCTTAGAAACCTCCAAGGAAGGAGAGCCCACCACTTTCTGAGGTAGTTGTTCCACTGTCAAACAGCTCTTAGCATTGGAAAGTACTTCCTGATGTTCAGTAGGAATCTCCTGTCTTGTAACTTGAATCCATTGGTTCAGGTCTTCCCCTCTGGAGCAGAAGAAAACAGGTCAGGCCAGGATGCCAAGGCTGGGGAAGCACCTTCTTTTTGGCTCCCTGGCAAAGTCGCCCACAGTCCAAGCACAGGAACAAGGGCTTCTTTGTGCCATAGTGCTCTGCCAGCACACACCCTTCTCTCTGCATGCTCTGAGCATTGGATCTGCCTTTTCCTCTCCCTGCTCTCTTCTGGGCGTTGTAGCTGGCCAGTTAGGACCGGCCCGCCATACAACAAGGTTAGGTGACTGCCTCAGGTGGCAGGATCCATAGGACCCTGTGGTCAATCTTTCTTCCCCCCTCCCTTTTCCTGATGCTGATCTTCCCTCATTGGTTCTTCCCTGGTGGGGAGGGGGACACCATTTTGGGGTCTGCCCCAGGCCAGCCAAACATCCAGACATCGCCCCAGACTCTGGCTATCCTGCCTAGCAAATGCTGGTTTCTCCTCCTTTTCTCACCTTTGGCCAGCTGTGACCCAAAGACCTGCTCTGTGCATCCTCTGAAGTCCTTTGCATTTAACACTAGCCCTGCAGGGAGTTGTGG